AACGAGCCACTGTGACGCTAGTTCTCTACTTCCGCCCCAAGGATCCTGCTCGAGCCAGGGCTACGGACTCGGTGGTGCGGGAGAGCCCTCTGCTGGAAGTTTACAGAGCCCCGCGCGAAAACAAAAGAGGACGCCGAAGGCCCCAGCGAGATTTGAACTCGCGACCCCTGGTTTACAAGACCAGTGCTCTAACCCCTGAGCTATGGAGCCGCCGCCTGAGCGCCTGCTCCCTACTTCTCTCCTTATAGACTTGGGCTGTCATGCTCGGGGGCACCGACGCGGGTCCGCGGCGGGGGAGGCTCGGCGACCGCCGTCCGGTCAGCTCCAGCGGGGCCAGCTCAGACCGCGTTCCCGGAGCTGCAGGCCCCGGGGGGCGGCGACCCCGAGGAGGGGCAGCGCCCGGGAGGACCCCCGCGAGGCTCCGACGCGGACCGCGCCAGCCCAGCCTCTAAAGGCGGACAGGATGCAGCCGACCTCGAAGCGTTCTGAAGAAATGGACGAGCTCCCTTAGTCGGGGAGATCAGCCGTCCACGGCAGACGTCCGCGACCCGGCTCGGGTCCACAGAGGCCCCACCGGGACGTCCTGCGCGCAGGGCCTGGCAAGCAGGGTCCTGGCCTCGGACGGTGGCCCTGGCCTCCACGCTCCGCCCTCCCCTCCTTCCCTCCTGGCCGCCGCTTCTCTGGGATCGTCTTCTCGTCGCCTTCTTGGCTCCTTTCCTTCTCCTACCTGTGTTCCTTCACCCTCACCTGATCACAGTCCGGTCAGCTCGTTTCCGTTCTCTGCATGGACTGATTTATTTTCCGTTACTAGTTATCTATTACATATTTTAAAGATCAAAAATAAAAAGGATTAAAAGAATATTCCAAAGAAGAAGCCAGGCAATAACCATGGACCTATTTGTCTATCAAAACAACAACAGATCGATGGACTTCAGCCGTTCCTATCCCGAGGGGTCATCCCGGTGTCTTCTGTCAAACTCCCTCATCTTCCTAGCCGACCAGAGCGCACACTTTGGCCCCTTCCGGTTGAGATCAGCCTGGTTCCCTCTTCCCAAATGACGCCTGGCTTGTGTCAAGCTGACATAAAACTGTGGCACAGCTTGGTTAATTTTCTTTTTAACACGATTCTAGGTTTTTCTTATTTCTCCCCTGTCACACAAAAACAAATGGAAAACGAAACAACTAAAACACCAAAATGTCAAACACCAGTGTGGTCAGGATCTTCCAGGGGCAATCCTGTGGAGGCTGGGATCTAGGCAGCCTTGTCATAAAACCACAATGCTGGGGATGGCTTTTTTATTTGTGTGTCTTGGCCTGCTTTGTATTTTGTGTCAGATGAAAACCAGAAATGAAGAGTGCGCTAAAATGTCCCGACGCAAACTTTGCAAGCGTGTGGTTAAAGGTGTTTAAGGGTGTACTGACTTGAAATGCTGCAGAGAGAAGGTTTCCTAAAAAGTGCCACTTAGGCACAACAGAGAAACCTACGCACAGGAGGGTGTGCCATCCATTTCTGCTTGTGCTATGGACGTTCTTCTCCCACAGATGAGAGGCGGAGGAATGATCCTAAGTGGTCTCGTTGTCAGGTAGTTAACTTGGTGTTAATGAAGCCAGATTGTTTGGTTTTTCTAATCTTTATTTTAGGCGTGCATTGCTCCAGAAGACGGTACTGGAGTGTGTTGGAGCCCCTAGCACTGTTTGCCGGGAAACAAACCAGGGTCCTCTGGAAGAGCAGCAAGTTCTCTTAACAAGGAGCCATCATCGCTTCAGCCCCGAGACAGGTGCTCTTTGTTGTTACTGTTACTCTTGTACTTGTTTTGCTTTGTTTTGTTTGAGAAGGAATCTTGCCTTGTGGCTCTGGCTACTGAATGCTGAGGTTACAGCCGGGCAACCCCCACACCCAACAGGTTTTTAAAGCTCATTGTGGAAGCAGACAGAACCCAAAGCCACAGATGATCACAACTTCGACTTAAGCTAAGCAAGCATCAGCAATTATCCAACACCAAGAACCAACCAATTTTTACTGACCAGGAATTGCCAGGAGTGTCTGAGGAAGCCTGCCAAGACCCTTACCTGATTCTGTTTTGTTTTGTCAGATACCAAAATGTCTCATACATCTGTTATAAGTGGGGAGGAAGAGAAATACCTTCAAATCCTTCCTGTCTACATATCCTGCCTAAATCCGACAGTGGCTGACTACGTGCTGAAGAAGCCGAGAACCTGGTGGCCAGCCTAGATGCCTTGGTAGACCTGGTCTGGTGCTAAAGGCCTGGAAGCTTCCCAGAGAGCTACTGCCTTTCCATTCTTGTTGGACCACAAAGAGGCTGGAGTTTGAAAAGATAGGGCAAGCGGGCAGACCTCTCTTTTCCTCGGACTTCTCTACATCTGAGTCATCGTAGCCTCTCCCCACCTCATTCCCCCCCCACACACATACACACAAGATGTTGTCCACGGTGGGACAGCATCTTCTCCCTTCCTCCCAGGTCCTCCCACAGGCATGTCCCTCAGTTGACTCCAGGTCCATTCACACTGACAATAGGACTTACAGCCTTGTCCCACTTCCTGTTTTCTCTCTGTTTCCTGAGTGTGGATGAAATGGGATCAGCCTGCTTCCTGAAAGGCAGACTTTGCGATTCTCCTGCCGTCCTTCCTGGCCATTATCTCACCCAGCAAACAAACCAAATCCTGCATCTTAATATGTATATAACGGGGGAGGGGGGCATACAGTAGCTCATGTGCCATTTACTGTAAAGATGAATTCCAGCCTTTGTTATTTTCTGCATTAGTGACTGCAGTTGCATCTTGGCTGGCCTTCTTTCATTCTCTACAAGCCTGTGCTTTCTCTACCCTGGCATTGGAGTTTACTTTAAGTGCCTACATTTGAGCAAGGTCATGTTCGTTTTTAGATTTTCTCCTTTGTAACTGGACCTGACACCTCTATTCCTTCCATGATTTTTCCGAGTCAGACAGCTTGTTATATGAAGGATACTATGTAATCTTTTGAGATTTTAATTTGTGTGCATTAAGGTTCATTTATTTTGTTTTGTGTGAATGCCTCCTTCTCTGTGTGTTCTTTTCATGTTCATGCAGGTTCAGGGTCTCTCTGAATTGGAAGCTCACCATTTCCACTGGGCTGGCTGGCCAGTGAACTCTTGGGATCTCTCTCTTCCTTCCCAATGCACTTGCAGGCCCTCACAAGTGTGCTGGCCTTTACTTGGGATTTGAACTCAGATCCTCATGGTTGCACAGCAAGTGCTTTCACCCACTGAGTCATCTTCCCTGACCTATCATCACCATCATCATCATCACCATCATCATCATCATCATCATCATCATCATCATCATCATCATCATTTAGGGGGTCTCACATATCCCAGGCTGGCCTCATACTAGATGTAGATGAAAATAACCTTGAACTTCTGTCCCCAAGTAGCGGTATTACAGAAATGCATTATCACATCTAGTTTACAAAGTGGTAGGGCTCAGACTCAGAACGTGGTGCAGGCCAGGCCAGCACTCTCCTGATTAAGCTACGTCCCTAGGCTTCCTTTTGACATGTCTCTAATAGCATTGGTGTGCATACATAAACTGAAGCCTTTATTGAAAGTGTCATCAGTTTTTAACCTTTGAATAGAGGATGTACCCTGATATTCCTAAATGTTGAATTAGGAATATTTCAACAGATTTTCCCACACAAACTCACAAATGTTCAAACACTGCAGCTATCACGGTGATGGCTGGAAGATGAAATCAGAACTTGGGTCTTCATATACATCAAATAGTAGGAGCTGGGCTGGAGAGATGATGCAGTGGTCAAGAGTACTTGCTGCTCTTCCAGGGAGCCTGAGTTTGGTTCACAGCACCATGATGGCTCTGTGGGCACCTGCTCTCATGTGTGAGATACAATCTAGGAGTCTTGATCATTTTCTCTGCCAGGTAGGAAACAGGCAGGAAAATTCTCTCAAGCCAGACATGTAGCACCAGAGAAATCTCAAAAATGGGAGCACACAGAGATTCAACAGTTGAAGACAGACTTTTTTTTTTTGGGGGGGGAGCCGAAAACCTCAGTCTCTTCTCCAGGGCTAGGGCTTTTAAATCTCTGAAGAGTTTCCCTCCCTTCCTTAGTTAGGAGTTTACTGCTGTGAAGAGACATCATGACCAAGGCAGCTCTTATAGAGGAAAACATTTAACTGGGGCTGGTTTACAGATTTGGAGGTTTAGTCCATTACCGTCATGGCAGCAAGCATGGCGGGAAGCATGGCGGCATCCAGGCACACACGGTGCTGGAGACATGGAACCGAGAGTTCTACACCTTGATGTGCAGGCAGCAGAAGGAGACTGTGCCACACTGTGAGCACAGGAGACCTCAAAGCCCACCTCCACAGTGACACACTTCCTCCACACACCTCCTAATAGTGCCACTCCCTATGGGCCAAGCAGTCACACACACACACACACACACACACACACACACACACGTCTATGGGGCACATACCTATTCAAACCACCACACTCCCCTAGTTTAGGGCTGATCAGTTTGAAGAAAGATAGAATAGTTGATTGGCCCATAATTGTTGTGTAACAGTTGGTCAGCTGGGAGCCTATTGGCAGAAGGGAAAAAAGAAAAGCCTTCCAGGCCTTTGTTTTAAGCTGGCAAGCTTTTGTCTCAGATAAAAAGGGTGAGAAAAAAGCCAGGTAGATTGGCCACCTTTAGTACCTAGCCAAGCTCCTCTTCCTGTCTGTCTACCAGAGACTGTCTGACTCCTCGTCTCTCGTGTGCATAGTCCATATCCCCCACCTAGACACACAATTAAAGTAAAAGTAAAATAGTAAAAATAGTACGAGCTGTTGTTACTAGGCAAAATGTAAAGCTAATTCATTTTTCTTGAAAGAAACATTTAGACTCAGTATATTTGAAGCTCATTGTGGCTTTCATGATGTCCAAGATGAAGGAAGAGTTGTCAGTGGGGAATGTATGGACCTGAGACTGAGTCTCCTCACTTTCAACTTACTGTCTTCTTTCTCAAATTCTCCCCAAGGAAAGGATGCTCTAAGAGCTCTGCTAGCACCTTTCTGAACATGTCTTTCAAGGCTTCCTTGACTCCATCGTTGCGCAAGGCATAGATAAATGGATTCAGCAGAGGTGTCACAAATGTTGTGATCACTGTGACTGACCAGTTGGCATCCACCGAGCCGCTCTGCGATGGCCTCACATAGAGAAAAATGGCACTTCCATAGAAGAGGGTTACCACCATAAGGTGGGAGGTACAGGTGGAGAAGGCCTTCTGCCGGCCTGCAGCAGACGGTGTGCGCAGGACAGCCAGGACTATTCGGCCGTAGGACGCGGCAGTGATAGTGAGGGAGGCCACAATGACAAGAAAGGCCAGGACAAAGTCAGCCTCCTCCAGTTTAGTGGTGTTGGTGCATGCCAGGTGGAGCAGCGGGCCACTGTCACAGAAGAAATGCCGGACCACGGCGCCCTGTTTGCAGAAAGGAAGAGAGGCCACTGCCACTGTGGGGCCCAGCACAGGAAGGAGCCCCCCTACCCAGCAGGCCAAGGCCACACGAAAGCACACAGCTCCATTCATGAGCAGGGGGTAGTGCAGAGGGCGGCAGATGGCCAGGTAGCGATCCACAGACATGACGGCCAACAGTAGGAACTCAGAGGCCCCAAGAAAGAAGTAAAAATAAAACTGGGTGATACATGCAGCAAAGGAAATGGTGTGTTGTTTTGAGAGGAAATTGCTGAGCATCTTAGGGATGATGACGGATGTGATCAGTATCTCCAGGCAGGACAGGTTACCCAGGAAGAAATACATGGGTGTCTGCAGACGGCGATCAGCTCCTACCACCCCCACAATCAACACGTTGCCCGTTAGAGTCAACACGTAAATAAGGAAGAACACAGAGAAGAGCCCCACTCCTGTGCTGTTGAGATTCGGGAAGCCCGCCAGGACAAACTCTGTAGTCCCATCGCTCTGGTTCCCACGGGGAGCCATTATTATCGCTTCCACCTGTAAGACAGTATGAATGCAGCCATGATGAAAAGACGTCCTGTCACCCATCCTGAAACTCAAGCTCATTCTCTGATTACAGAGCTGGAGAAAAATTTCTCTAAAGGGTGGCTAAGTCTTAAGGAAATGTCAGGAGCCTGTATCCATCTTCCCACATGTCATCCCCAAAACTGATGGCTCTGACTGGGGTGAAAGTAAGGAGAACAAACAGAGCTCCAGATGTTTTCCTGCCTTTGAGTTCCTGTGTCTCTGCTCACACTGGCTGAGAACGCTGTGCTCCTCAGCTGCAAATTTCTGTAAGGAGCAAGCGAAATAACAGGACAAAAAACTCAAAAGAGTTTCCAATGCCATTCTGGCTTTGTATGGAGAATTTTCACAATAAAGCGAGAGTCTAACTAAAATCAGATCCCCACAAAATGCTTGCATTTCGGAAGCTGTAACGTTGGAGAGGCGGATATAAGAAAGCCATGTTGATTCGGCTGTTGTTTTCAAGTTAAACTCTCTGGTTAACAGTGATGCGAGTTCATGAAGCCCTTCTCAGCTCGTGACACTTTCCCTTCTGAACCACACACGCCAAAGCTTTTTAAAAAATGGGTTCCAGTGGTTTGTCAGAAACAGAATTACAAATTCCTGCCTATAATTAATTAGATTGGATCTGGAGTTAATTGGAGTCCTTCCAGTCCTATCAAATAAATAAATAAATAAATAAATAAATAAATAAATAAATAAGTAAATGCCAAAATGGTGATATTCAAAAGTGCTGTCTTTTAAAGTCTCCAATAAAAGATAAGGAAAGCACAAAGGAAAAAAACCAATTAAAAATTCTCAGTAGCAAAGGATCAGAATTGATTTTTAAGAACGTTGGTTCTTCTCTAGCTGTACTTTTCGGACCACACCACAAACATCTCATTGCCAATGAGCATTAGACTCGTTACTCTGTTCCCCTTTCTCATCTTTGGATCCTACATGTGTGAGTGGGAAACATCTGAACCTTTTCTCTAGGATAAGGACACCTTGTGGCCATTCACTTTAGGGGCTCATTCGCTGTAACTCCCCTCCAGCTTCTACAGAAATTGCATCATATAGGTTAAGGCAACTGCTGTAGTTCTGCTTTCATCGTGTGTCACATTCTGTGTTTAGTGAATCAGAGAGGGGCCACATTGCTGGGTCACTGTTCAATGCCTAATGACATAACCAAAAAATTAGGATGTGTGACAGACAGGAGGAAATGATGCTCGCATGTATAGAATGCTAACAAAGACATAAAAAAATTAGCCATAGATGGAGTAAGTAGTATTCTCAAGAAAGAGATACCTAAAATAAACACTCTCAAATGAGTGCTTGAGGGGAGAGTAACATTTTCCATAGAAGCAGAAGTTTTACCTAGGAACAGAAAGTAAGGACGAAGTGTAAGGAGACTGTATTGAGCATCTCAAAGCAAATCTTTTTTGTTTTGTGTTTGTTTGTTTTCTGGCCCTCTGTCCTTCTCTGTGAAACTAGCATGTCACTGGGCCTGTCTATATCTGAAGTAACAGGAGAAAAACTCGCCTGCTCCTGAATGCCCGTGACCTTTTCATAAGTGTAGGACCCTGAAAATATTTATCTCTCCCAGTTTGTGAGTCAGTGTCCCTTCTATCCTATGGTCCTTCCAGCACCCTGTACTGTGAAGCGGACAGTAGCCTGGTATCCTTGGAGTCCCAGGCAATGAATACTGCACTTGGGAAAGCGAGAGAAGTTGAGTAACTTCTCAAGTCCAAGCCTCTTGCCTTGGACTTTCCTTGCCTTGGACTTTCCTCCCCGGCACAGCCTCTGGTGCTGATGCTCTGCCTAGTGAGCATAGGGGCTTCTGGACCCTGCAGAGGGTGTGACACTATTCCTTCATAGCTTTCTTTGTGTTTGTCCCATTGATTGTTTTGAGATGGGGTCTCGTTAGGTAGCCCTGGAACTTGCTGTGTAGACCAGGCTGGCCTTGAGTTCACAGAGGTGGGTTTAATACACTGTTCTGAGATACTTTGTTCCTTCTTATGCCACAGGCAAGTCAAACACGAGGGCCTAGCCTCCTCTGTGTGGAAGGAGCGGCTTCTACCCCATGATCAATGCCCTAGGCTGCGCTAGGCACAATTCACCCAAAAGACAGCTGTCTGAGCAGCCAAAAATGTCACTACAAGAACAGTAGCTGGAAAGCAAGGAGTGAACACGAACAGTTACTTCTACCTTGAGAATATGACACACTTACCAATTATCTGTTTTCATCGATAGTGGTTGAAAAACATTCTTTTTTTGTGTTTCTTGTCTTGTTGATGGATTTTAGGAATACAATGTCCATTTTTTTGCTTTTGGACTTCATGCTTCCTGGCTTCTGGTTTTAGATTGAGTGCAGGGAAGAACACTTGAAGTCACCGGTCTCTAATAAAACCTCTGTATTGAAAGGCACGATCTTCCATGTGCAACTGTGGTTTTCCATGGAGAAATGACACTTGATCCAGACACGAGGAGCTTAAGGAGTAGCGGTGCTAGGGACAGAAAAACTACCCAGACAGTGAGAAGATAAAAGAGAGAGAGGGTGGGAGTGCAAACACGTCCCGAGGGGCCCAGGAGAAATTTGTAATTCTATGGTAGCTTTCTAGACACTGCCTGGTAAACCTAGAGAGGAGACTAGGGATGCTCTCTTCCTTTGACATCAACCGCCTTGAGTCAGGCAGCTGTAAAAGGAGTGCTACCTATGGAAATGAGGGAAGTCGTGGCGTCTGGCCAGCATCAACCGCCCCGCTCCTCCTGACACTCAGGGGGAGACATCTGTAACCCAAGCAACATCGGCCTCACCTCTTCACCCTAAGGACTTAAAACGAGAGTGTGACTCTTTCCCTTGGGTTCTATGGTAGAAAATAATGGAAGGCCCAAGGGTGTGATAGCAAAGGGCTGTCCATACCATCTCTCTTCTGTTGCTTCTTCCTGGCACCTACTTAACATCCCACCAATCATATGTAATTCCACATCCCCAGGCCAGCAAGGATTCTGGACTTCATGGAGATTCTGGTCATCTCCATGCACCATATGCTCCCTGCTAAACACTTGGTGACTTCTTATTCAGGTCCAAGCCCCAGTTTACTCGGTTCTTCTGTTCATTCCTCTCCACCCCACCTTTCTGACCACTTTCCAACCAGAACTATGACCAGTACTGCTGACTTCCCTCCAACCTGATATCTAACCTGCTGCGAAATGGCCTTTCTTTCTCGGCTCACCATCTATCCAGTGTCTTAATCATTAGGGCACCAAGTTTTCACCTTTGCATTTCTGACACGGGTCACAGTGCTTGGAACATGCTAGATGCTTAAAAATGGCATGTGTGCCACCCTGCTCTGAATCCGCACCCTGGAAGAGCAGCTGCTCTTCTGAAATAAACATGAGTTGGGTTTGAGCCAAGTAGAAGAGCACCCAGGTCCTTCTAGAGTCAGTTTGACTGGATTCCATCCTTGCTGGATATAATCCTCCTGAGAGCATAAAAGATAGCTATGAAGAAGCCTGGACAAAGTGACACAAGCTGCCACTGGACCGTAAAGGGAGGAGAGAACGTGGACTGGAAGGCTGGCAGAGATCTCCCACCAAGTCAGACTCAAAGCCGAACTCTCACTTGCTAAGCTAAGGGAAGGGTATATCTAAAGAGAAGACCCAAGAAGTATGAGAGCTGTCTAGAGAACTCCATACAGAAGTTTAAACCTTAACTGAAGGGGAGCTAGTGGTTCATGCCCAGCACGTGGGAGAACTGCCATGAATTTGAGGTCAGCCTGGGGTATGTAGTAAGATTCTGTCTCAAGGTAAAGCTTCTTGACTGAACTATCATACTTAAAGCTAATGAAGAGATAAGAAGGTGTTATGGTTTTTTAAATTATAGAACTAGTTTTTCAAAATTTAAAACTTTGGCTAGTATACAAAGAAATTGGTTTCCTTGACACATTTTCATAATACTTATTGTTATTAGTTATTATTATTTATATTTGCCTTTCTACCCTTCCCCATATCTATTCTCAGCATCTTGTGGATTCCCTTCCACCTTCCAATATAATGACACATACATCCTATTACCCTCTTTTTCCCTGTCCCTTTAGATGTCTTTCTCTCTTTCATAATCGCCTTCCTACTTCCGTATCCTACACATATACATTAACAAAGTTGTATGTGCACAATGTATGTATAAATTTAAATCTAGATTCCACATATGAAAAAAACACGTTACTTGTTTTCTGAGTTTGACTTATTTCCATCCATTTTCCTATGAATGTCATAATTTCATTCTGTGTTACTGCTGAAGACAATTCCATCATGTATATTTATCCACATTTTCCTTTCATGCTCATCTGTTGGTTGTCGGTTGGCTCCATTCATTTTATTATGAATAAAGCAGCAATGAACGCTGATATGTGAGGGCCTCTGTAGTATGCTGACTTAGACTCCTTGAGGTAAGCCTGGATTATATGTTGGTTGTTAGCATTTTGAAGAGTGTCCGTATTGATTTCCATATTGGCTGTATCATTTATATTCTCACCAGGAATAAAGATTCTTTTTTCTCTATATCTTGGCTAGCATTTATTGTCATTTGTTTGGTTGGTGATTCCAACAGGGGTGACATGGGATCTCAAAGTAATTTTCCTGATAGCTAGACTTAATTTTTAAATTTTTATTGGCCATTTGTGTTTCATTTCTTTGGAGAGCTATCTCTTCAGTTCATTAGCTCATTTATTAGTTATGTTGTTCTTGATATTTAGCTTTTGGGTCCTATATTGCTTTTAAACATTGATCTCCTATCAGACACAGTTAAGCAAAGATTTTTCTTTCCATTCAGCAAGCTGTTTCTTCACTCCAGTGACTGCTTCCTTTGTGGTGCTGAAGTGGTTTAATCTTAGGCAACCTCATTTGTCAACTCTTAAGATTATTTCCTGTACAGTTAGAATCTTTTCCAAAAAAAAAAAAATCCTTAACTATTCTTG